CTTTGTTTTTAGTATGGGAAAAACATATGAAAACTACATTATATCAACAATTTGGATTCCAATACCGATATTGCTCTTTCTGATAGCGCTCAGCAAACGGCTGTCTTTAAGATACTTATAGGTAACATGTACATAAATAAGAAATATCATTGTCTTGATGCTTCCTTTTCTTAAGGTTTGAGTTAATTTCATGTGTTCTGTGATGATATTTGCTTACAAGAATCTCTTATTTCTCTCCGTTCCTTATACTTGTTCTTACTTCTGTTCTCGTTTGAACTTCTTTTGTTTGGAAAAAACACATGGAAGTACTATAAATTTACTTGTTCTTTCTTTCTTTTTATCCTTTTTGCCTTCTAGGGATTTCAGGAAGGCGAGAACAGAGAAGTAGTTATACTTTGACAGACATATTTGGCTGTAAAAAGAACTAGCTCAACAAGCTAGCTAGAAGCCTCCCAAGTCAATTAAATGGAACCTGTTTCCGTGCACATTGACTATAGAATTTTCACAATCACAAGTCTGGAACCTCATTTGTATAAAGCTGCAGCAGCTGGTGAAATAGATGTGGTCAGAGAAAAGAATGAACAAATTGGGTCCATCCAATGCTAACTCCAAATAAAAATACAACAATCCTTCATATTTACTTGACAGTGACACGTAAGGGAGCTATAGGCATTTGTGAGAGAGATTCTAGATATGATATCACGGGTATACTTTTCAAATCAATTTATTAATTAAAATGAATAGTTCACTACATTAAGATCATAAAACTTGCTAAAAAAAAAAAGATCATAAATCAGCAAATCAGTTACTAGAAAAATATTTTCGTGACAAATTTTTTAATTGGGTCTTTTTTAATGTAAGCATATATATAATATCTAAGTTTATTAAGTCAGATTGAACATTATTTGTTTGGCCCGATTTAAAATAGTTCTCTCAAATATTTTTTATATTGAGTTTGAATTCGAAATCTTATGCTTCAACACCTATGTGTATAATTAAATTTAGTATCATAACAACTTCGCTGCTGCATTCAAGTCGTCTTCTCTCTCAAATACCGCATTTGTTAGCTGCATGCATTCAATAACTGTTTAGAATATATTAATTGCATTAGCCACCTTTCTTCTTCTCATCCTACTGTGGACATCCACTACTTACTCCATCTTTTATTTAACTTTCCCTTCTCTTGCTCAAATAATTACTACTGCAGCAAATTTTTCTGGGGAAGACAAATTAATAGCAGTATCGAAGAGTTGTTCTTTCATATTGCTCGGCAAACGGCTATCTTTAAGGTTCTTTTACATAATTTGCACACAAATAAGAAACATCATACTTCTTGTTTAAATTATGCCGTGTTTCTCTTCATTCGTATCCACTTACTTTTGCGAGATTTGATTTAGTTACATATCTTGCTATGCCGATTCGCTTGTACTAATAATGCCTTATTATATCTATGTTGACTTACTCACTCTTACTCTTGTTTTCACTTGAACTTCTTTTACATATTCGGAAAAACTGGTGAAAATTAAATATTAAAAAAATCGTTGAATACAAGCTGTAAAAGCTGTGAGTCTGTGACTGCTCTGGTAGTGACATTTAAAAATAAAATAAAATTTGGATTTGGAAGTTGTTGGAAGAGTGGGGAAAAATTATTAATGGTGTGTTTCGATTTTTAATTTAGGATAAATCTCTCATTTTAATATACATACACACACACACACATATATATATAGATTTAAATTTTTTTTATAATTCTAAAATTTTTATTTATCCTAGTTATTTAAAATTTCAACCATTCTAATTTCTTGTTTTCTTTGTATTTTTATTGTTATTGTCTCTGTCATTCTTGTCTTATTTCATCTCTCATTCTTATCCTCATCTCTCCTTGATTCTCCCCGGTTGAAGAATAAAAATAAAATCATCACTCTCAATATTTTGTGTTCGCTCAAATCTCAACTCATCAATATTCTCTCAATAAAATCATCACTCTCAATTTTTTACACTATGGAAACAAAATATTTTTAAATACATGAATTTTGGATATAAAATTTTAAATATGATCATTTTAAATATACAATTTAAATTTAGTAATTCATACTTGACTTAAAATACTATGCAACAAATCGAACTTATTGTACATATGTTAAACCCACCGCATGTCTCTAAGGAGAAGTTTTTTTTTTTTCTTTCGGGGCCAGAGTCTGTAAGGAGAAGTTAGTTTAATAATAAATCAACCCGTGCATATATTGGTCATGGGTTTAACAAGTTTGGGGAAAAACTTGGAAGGAAAAAAAAAAAACCAAAAAAAGCGAGTAGCCTTTACTGTTAGCTATTGAAAACCAAAATATAAATCTTCAATTTTTTAATTAGTCTCTTATTTATTAATAGTATTTAGATGTTCATTTATTAATTTTTAAACATCAAGTATATATGTTTTTGGATTTAATTTATTAAAATATTCATGCCGGAATCCTTCTATTTTGAAAAGATACAATTAAGTCCAGTCAACTAACTTATAAATATTACAAAAAAATTATAAAAATTTTTTCAATTAAAATTGATATTAAATAATTTATTTATTAATTTACCCCTCATTCTAGTAAACTGCTAAATTGATTCTAAAAACTAATTTTTTTAATTAAAATTGATATTAAAATAAAATTTAGATACTATTTTACCCCTAGCTCGTAAATTCCTAAATTATATTATTATTTTTATGATTACATATATTTCATTTACTGAAAAAAAAGAATTTAAGAGTTTTCTTTTCTTCTTTGATGAAAAAGAGTTTTCTTTTCTTTCATTTAGTTTTTTATTTTTGAAAATATTTGCTTAATGTTTTTTGCAACTTGGGACAAAAAATGAAGTGATTGCTCAGTTCAAGAAGACATAAATAAATATTTGATTATTTAAACAAATGCGTTATAAATGTCTGTGACAAAAAAAGTATGTTTACAAATTTTAAATTTTTATATAATCTCTCAAACCTACATTTTTTTATATTATGTGATAAAAATATGTGTTTGAAATATCTTTTTAGCAATTTAAAAGAAACCTAATAAAAGTGTTTCAATAAATTTAAAAAATTAAATTATGAAAAATTTATAGTATAATAAAATTTAATAAATTTTATAACATAATAAGAGTTTGAAAAATATATTTATAGGTCCTTAAAGTTTCATTTAATTTTAAATTAAGTCCCTGTAGTTTATTTTATTTTAATCAAGTCATATATTGTAATATTAAAATTAATAATAAGTTATTGAATTTTACAAGACAAAAATATTCTTGGAGTTTTGCATAAAATTTAATTTAATATTTTTATTCAAAATTGAAATATAAAATTTCATTTAATCCACTGTTTATATTTTTATTATAATTTTTTAATAAAAATTCTACAAGTATAAAAATTTTGAGTTATAAAAATATGTAATTAATTTTAAAGTCATATAATCATTTAATAAAAATATAAAAGTTCTTGATCTTGTTTTTTTTAAGGAAAAAAATGAAAGGATTTTAATTTTTTAGGTATCAAAAAAATTAATTGATTAAACTATGAAGGCTCAATTAAAATAAAATAAACTGTAGATATATTTTCCCATAAAAATTTGAAAATGTATGTGTTATATTTTGTTGTTGTATAATAAATATTTTTTAATTTAAATGTTTAGATAATTTTGATGTTAAATAGGGGTATTTTGGTGAAAATGCAAGTTTGAAAGTAAAACTTAACTGCCAACTAATGGTGGCATAGATTAAAATCAAATATCAACCATACAAGGAAGGTTTATGCAACGTGCAATTTAATTTTAAAGGAGATTTATCTAAATTTTTAAAGTAAAAAGGATGTTTATTAATTTAAAGATGGGGGTCGGTAGTATATTTTACTCAATAATAAATCAACCCGTGGTCATCGTTTTAACAAGTCCAACCACTTTGCTTTAAAAAAAAAAAAGAAAAAAACAAAAGGCCAGTAATTACCTATAATGTTTGGTCAAGTTATTGAAATTTTAACCAAAAAATATACAATTTTCAATTTTTTAATTAGTCTCTTATTTATTAATAGAATTTCGATATTAATTTATTAAATTTTAAACATCAAGTATATGATTTTGGATTGAATCTTTAAATGTTGTCAAAATGCAACAAGTGCAAAATCTTTAAAATCTTTAAAATGCAACAAGTGCAAAATTTTGGATTGAATCTTTAAAATCTTTAAAATGCAACAAGTGCAGCTAATTGCAAAAGACAAAAAACACTTTAAATGACTAAATCCAGAGAGCAATGGATTTAACAGGGAAAATATATTCAAAATTTTGAAGTATGTCGCCTGATTTTAAAATTTGGCAAAATTAGACGGTCCGGTCATTTAATTTTCCAAAAAATTAATTTTCTTAATATTTGTCAATTGCATGTATTCAATAATTGTGTTAGAGACAAGACAACTTTTAAATTTCAACCACTACTTTTATTTGTTTATTTATTTTTGCTTTATTTTTTACATATTTTAGCTTCACTTTTACTTTTCACGTGATATCCATCAGGTCCAGTTCTCCAATCAAATCTTGATATACATGTGATTTTTTTAATTAGTGATGATTAATTTTACAAAGTTTTGAAATTTTATTCATGTGATTTTTTTTATTCTTTGAAATTTTTTGTTAAAATCGGAAAAACATATGAAAATTACATTATCAACTACAAAGTATGGCTGTTCTGGCAGTGACAATTGAAATTCATATGTTGACTCACTTTCGCATAGTTTTTTCTTTCTTTTTTTTTTTTTTTTGCATTCTAAATTCTGGTTTTCTCTGATCTTTCAGCATGCCAGAAACCTCCCAAGTGATCACTTCAATCGAACATGTCTCTATCCACATCACATGCATGGAACTTGAATTCTTAGAGATGCCGTAGAGGGTAAAATTGATGTGTTTAGGGAAAAGGATAACCAAATTGAGTCTATTCTAACTCCAAATAAAAACACAATCCTTCATGTTCACCTGATGACATGTCATGAGGCATTGAAAGAATTTGTGGATGGGACTCTAAATATGTACCCTGCACTTTTGATGAAGGCTAATGCTAAGGATGAAACCATCCTTCATATAGCAGTCAGGTATGGACATACTGAAATAGTGAAAATAATTATTAAATATGTTAATGAAGCTACCCCTGGTGAAGATGAAATTAAGAAAACACTTGTAAGGGCTACAAATGATAAGAAGGACACAGCCCTACATGAAGCAGTGCGTTATAATCATAAAGAAATAGTGGAGTTGTTGATAAATGAAGATCCAAATCACCCATATTTTGAAAATAATGATGGGGAGACTCCACTTTATATTGCTGCTCAGAGAAGCTACTATAAAGTAATACATACAATATTGGAAAAAAGCAATTCACCAAATCATAAAGGCCCCAACGGGAGAACAGCATTACATGCAGCTATTATTCATTTGGAGAAGTTGGGAAGAAAAAAGGTATATACACATTATATGCTTTCTTTCACACTTTATCATTTATAAAAATTAAATTTTTATTTGATTTGTATATAAAAGTGTCTTATTTATCAGCTATATTAAGTGACAATGTTAATATCAATGATTTGGGGATGCATATAAAAATTTTATTTTTATAAAAAAAATTAGGGATATTGTAATTTTTAATTTCTCAAGTTTGTCAATTATCAATTTAGTTCTTATTTAATTTTTATCAATTTAGTCTCTTATTTTTTTTTAAATATTTATCATATGAGTTCTTTATGTTTTAAAATATAAATTGACTCTTAAAATAATCTAATATGTAAAATATATATTAGTAATGGCTTGGCACATATATGTGTGTGCAGCTAAATGGAAACAAATTAGCCCTCAAATTAATATAATTTAATGGCTTGTTTTCAAAATTTTAGAGTCAATTTTTTCCCTACCTAAATAATTATATTTTTTTTCATTAATTTCTAAAGTTTCTATTAATATTCTATTATTCATGTCAACAACTTTTAATGGTGAAACTCCTTTTTAAATTGTAACAATCAAATTGATAATTAAAATAAATTTACTAAAGCAATAAAAAATTAAACTAGAGAGATTAAATCAATAATTGAGATAAAATTGAGAGGCTTAAAAGTTGTATTATCCTAAAAAAAATTAATAATATGTACATATCTTGTTTTTTTTTTTTAATAATTTAAATGGAATGTTGTGGTCATTTTTTTTTTTACATTTTTCAAAAAAATTGAAGTATAAGAGGCATGTTTTGAATAAGCAACTGCAATTGAAAGATATTTAATTTGATTTTTTTTAAAAAAAAGAAGTTAATAAAGGTTGATGAATTGGTGTTACAGAAGCATTGGAGAAGTTGCTGCAAAAAATACTGTCAGTGGTGAAAGAAGCAGATGAAAATGGATGGGTGCCACTTCACTTAGCAACATTAGATGAACGGGATGACAATGTCTTGACAAAAGTGTTGTTAGAGCAAGATAGAAACACAGCATACATGAGAGACAACAAGGGAAGGACGGCTCTTCACTTTGCTGCGTATTGTGGAAATGGTACAGTCATGAGAAAGATAATAAAATATTGTCCAGATTGTTCAGAGTTGGTGGATCACAAGGGCCGCAATGCTCTTTATTATGCTACAAGTCTTGAGGGAGACAAACTCAGTGGAAGATCAATGGCTGCAAACATAATTGTGAAAGAACAACAACTAAGAAACGTGCACAATGAGAAAGACAATGAAGGCAACACGCCTCTTCATCTCCTTGCCCGTTATGCTTCCACATGGAAAGAATATCATTCTCATCCTCTTCTGAAAGAAAACTCAAGGATAGATACGATGGCATTCAATAAAACAATCAAACTGCTCTCGATGTTGCTTCTGATATTGTGCCTTCAACTTCATAGCTTGAGGTAACAAGCAATGACAACATGTACCTACTTACTAAAAATAATTAAATACAATATATAATTCATTGATTAAATAATACATTAGTAAATGCTACTCATTATTGAATAACTAACAGGCGATTCTCTTTTTCAAAATGAAAATGACAAATACCTGTTACATGTTGTAGAATATTTTCTTGCGAGAACTTCAACACGGTATTAGAGCAAGGTTTGGTGGGAGAGTCATAAATAAGAATGTTAAAAAGAAGAAACAACAGAAGAGACATGATCCAGCAGTGATAGAAACGCAGAAACAGGAGAAAAAGGAACAAGAGGAAGATGACGAGTCAAAAATTCAAGGCAGAGTGAGACAAACCTTGCTTGTAGTTGCCACACTGATAGCAACAGTAACATTTGCAGCAGGATTTACGTTGCCTGGGGGTACTATACAAGATGTTAAAAACAAGGGCTCTCCCATGTTAATGCATAATGCTACTTTTAAGGCATTTGTGGTGACAGATTCTCTTTCCTTTGTTCTATCTGCCTCTGCTGTCTTTCTCCAAATTTTCTCATCATTTGTGGAGAGAAATGAATTTTTCTCTGTCTCAAACAGAAATTCGTTCCTAGCAGCCTTACTGGACAATGTTGGGAATGGTATTCTTAATAGCAGCATTTGCGACAGCCACATACACTGTCTTGGCTCCTTCCAAAGGCGTTGCTATTGCCACTCTTCTTATTGCATTGTCTTTCTTCATCACCTTTCTCTTTTATTTGGTTTACAGGAATGAAAGGTCAATTTATAAATGGTATACAGACCTTGAGAGAGAGCGTGAGAGAGGGCGTGGAAGGAGATCATTGCCCTTTTTTAAATTTGATGACTCTCTAAGGGAAGACATGCAACTGTTAGATTGTGTATGAGATCCCAAAACATATCAAATATTTTCAATTTCAATTCACATCTTTGTATTTTTGTAATTATTTTTTCTTCATCCATATCACATGATATGTCCTGTATCCAACCTGTGTATGTCGTCGTTGACTTGAAAATAAACACTTCATTTTAAATTAGTGTACTTCCTCAAATAATTATGTTGTTGCTTTTCCATATCTTTTGTTTTTAATTTTATACGATTTGTTTGGTCTTTAATTGCCAATCCCTTTTGTCCGATAGTTATTGAATTTTCTGGAATTTATTTTAAAATTTTGCATATTTTAATTCAATCAAATTTACAGAATGTTGAATAAACCCAAATATAACAATAATTGATGGCAATAAAATGACATTAATGGACACTAGAGGCGGTAATTCGCACTAACCAAAAAATCTTACGGTAGGGGTTGAAAATTTAGAAGTTTTTTTTTTTCCTTTTCAATTTCGGGCTTATACGATATCTATTACTTTCCCCACGCTTGATTTTTGCCTCCAACAATTAGAGGCATAAGATCAAACTAGAGCTTTATTTTTTTTTTTAAAATAAGCCGAGCACTCACAAAATAATTTTGTACATACAAATTCAAATATATATAATTCTTAAGGGCTGTATATATAACAAGTTATTTTATTTAAAGACTAGGCCTTGCTCAAAATTCTTAAAAACAAATGCGTTATGATCATCAATCTAGTCTTTTTATTTTTTACCTTAACTAAACATACTTAACAATTTTTCGTTACTAGTCAATCACTTAGAATTATTGGAACCATCTTGACTACTCATCAGAACCCTCAAAAGTTGACCACTTGGAGTTGCTTCTTGCTTTGATCTGAGTACTCTTCACCTAATTTCTCTCCCATATGAAATAACTCTTTCTCATCAATATCAAGTGGTGATGCTGCTACTTCTTTCACTTCAAGCACCTTCAAGCATGCCTTCATCCACACATGAAAAGCACTTCCCAGACTAACCCAAGATATGGCTTTATAAAATCTTAGAATCATAAGCATTCCGAAAAAATCCCCAACTCAAGAGCATCACAATCCTGTTTTAGAAGAACATACCCAATATTTCCAAAACTTGCACAAATATCTCTCTCCCGGAAACTGGTGTGAGCAAAGCGTGTTTAAAAATGTAATTTTTCTCTCAGACTTTGACATAATTGGCCAATTCTCAGAAAGCCTCTTGATCTGCATCACCCTAAATCAACCCAGCGACAAGGTTGAGGAGACAACTTTTGAGGAATTCAAGGTTGAAATCTAGGACTGCGTCAAAGTATTAGTGTATGGAGCTTCTAGTGATGCTGTTTTTTTTCTTTTGTAGTGTATTATGAGCCTGGCCTCAGTCAATACTAACAGAAATAACTGCATCTATCCTTCCTAATTCTTATCAAGATTTTGCTTTGACCCACACCATTCTCTGTCTCTCTCTGTTTTTATTTTTATTTTTGCCCACTCCCATACCTCATTCAATGAATATCAAGCTGTATCATACTTTATTTTTTTCTTTTTATTTTTAAGGGGATATCATGCTTCGTTTGGATCCACATTAATTCATTGATGAATGATGAAAAATTTCCATGGGAAGCACAATTTATATGTGTGTTATCCTATTCTCTCTTGGCACTGTGAAAATCAAATATGTGAGATAAGATTCTGCAGAAATTCTTCATGCATGTTACAGTTCTTCTTGTATATGGAAGGGTATCCTAAAAGTTAAATCTCAGGTTCTTGAGAACATAAGTTGGAAAATTGGAAATTGCAAACATATTCCCCTCAGCCGGCCTTTGTGATGCTAAAATGCGAGCAAATTTGGAACCTCGATGTCCAGCAAGTGATGAACTAACTGCGCTTGTACTCTGTGTCTTTTTAGCAAAACTGCCCTTTTCTCCTCGCTCTCTACTCATTGATATTCTTATTCGCTTCATTTGGACAGAGAGAAGAGAATGTTAGGTGAAAATTAAAAACTCTTAAAAATTATAATTTTTTTATTATTTTTGGAGTTTTCCCTCAAAACATTCTTTTTTCCCCTTAATTTCCTTCCTATCTAAAGGAGAATTAATTTTGGCAAGAAAGGATCTAAATCCCAATTCTCCACCAAAGTGATGTTCTAACAAACTATGTCTCTTCTTGGTAATAACTGTTAGCAGAAGAGTGTAATGAATGGGGCAATGAACACCTAGAAAAGGGAAGAAGATAAGCAGGCAAGAACAATGAATGGACGCCTGGCCCATCTTAATTTAAAACCTTAAGTCTTAAGTCTTTGGTTTTTTTTAATATTATATATTAGTTATTAAACTTGACTTTATCTGAGGTAAGATTTCCCATACATCAATTTAAAACCTATCCATATTGAGACAACTTAACAATCTTTGCCTCAAGTATGAGTCACAATTTTTCCATATTAAAGACACCCTAAACAAAGCTCTACTCATATAAATTTTATCTAATGTGGTCCCACATTGTTAAGTCACTCACCACATCCTAACACAATATAATCTCATTTTATAAATGTTTGTCAAGGTTTTTTCTTTTTCTAATGTAGAAAGCTTTCATATTAAATATAATCTTCCATTTTACTTTTTGCTAAAAAAAATAACAGCAGTTATCGAAATATTTATTTATTTGTACATTTGATTACCTAATTTTAATTATTTTTTATCAAAGCATAAATTTTTCTTTAGATTCTAGATGATATCTTGCTATATTTTTTTTTCCTAGAATTGATCATTATCATATATTTTATTAAATTATTACCAAAATATATTCAGATGTCATCTTCTTTTTTCTTTATTGTTTGGCCTCCATATTTTTTTCTCAAGATATCCCCACAGCTGACAATTATGAGACTAATTTTTAAAAAAATTTAAGTGTCATTTAAGAAGTTGTCATATTCCAAGAGATGCTCTCCATACACACTTTCAAAAATTAAACTTTGGAATGATATTTTAGGAACCCAGACTGCCAATAATTATGCCACAGCCACTTGGCTTGGGCTTCATATTTTAATAAACTTCACCGTTTGCAAATGCGGCTTGAGGAAGACAATTCACATTACACTTGGGGAGTATATGAACTCAGTTTAAATTTGGCAAAATTAGAGGGACCAGTCATTTAACTTTCCATAAGTTTAACTTTCTTAACAGGGAAAATGACAATTGAAGACCTTATAAGAAAGTTAATGTAAAATAAAGGCTATTGAGTTATGAATTCCTCGAGTTTAATTTTAATCATAATTTCTTGAAATTTCAATTCTAATAAATCCTTGATATTTTTCTTAAGTCCTTATTTATCATCCTCCCTACTTAATATTTGTCGATTGCATGCATTCAATAATTGCATAAGACAAGTTTCAACCACCTTCACGTCACTTTTTTTTCTCTTGGAAAAATGACAGAAAAAATCTCCTAAAATGTGCAAATAATAATGAGATCACTCAAAATATCATAATTCTTCTCAAATGCCTAGGAACTTTTCTAAAAACATTAATAATTTTCAATGAAGTAATTAAAATACCTCAATTTAAAATACAAAGTGATAGTCCTAGCCCAAAAAAGTAAGTATTATTGATTATTTTAATTTGAGTAATGATTATTTTTCTGACAATCAATAGAATGAAACAAGGAATTACAGCTTTCCTTTGCAATTTTTTGATTCATTGGTGCAAATTTTGCTATCAATGGATAACTTTCTGCACAAGTTCTAAGGTGAACATTATTTAAAAAACATGGTGGCATTTTCATAATTAAGGGCTTGACTATTGGTTTTTCAATAGCGGTACATGGTACAAAGAGGCATGCTTTACGTTTTAGTGACTCGTGCGATGCGGCATCTCATGTATGTGCCACGGCATGTGGGACAAAGCCACTTCTCCTTGTTTTTCTCTAACTTTGAGGTTTGGGAGTCCTAAGTTTGCTCTAGATTCAAACCTAAGACTAAAACCATAACTCAAAACATGCATTAGCTCTCTATAACCACACACAATATTAATTTATTTAATTAACCTCATTTAACTTAACTTAATTAGGGTTAATTTTTCATGATATTACATAGGTTAAATCTGTCCTTGTAAATAAATAACTATTTTCTCATTTTTTATTATTTTTAATGTCTTACACATGAATGAGAAAGGGTAATTAAAATTCTTTTAAAATTATATTAATTTATCACAATTAACTTCAGATAATTGTTTTCACAAGTGGGTGTTGTGAGGTATCTAACACCTTCACCACACACTATTGACTCCTAAACTTGTTTTCTAATTTTGCAAACCATTCTTATCTCCTTTAAATGATTTCTCAAGATTTTTCTTAAAATTTTGGTAACGACTTTCATTCGACTGGTTTCACTTTGAAGTCTTGAATCTCTGCTCTCACATGCCATCCATGTTGTATTTTCAAGTGCAACAATGATTATTTTTCTTTTGATAATAACTAAAATGAAACAAGTAATTGCAACTATCTCATATACAAATTAAACTCATTGAATAAAAAATTATGTGTAAATATGTGAAGGTGTATGTGTTTGATCCATTAAAAAAGTGCAAGGGGTGATTTAATTTTTCGGAAAAATTTAAATTTCTAAGTACATATGTCACTTGTTAGTTGCATTATTGATTCAATAATTGTATTAAACACTTCTCAAGTCTCAAGCACACTTTTTAGAGGAAGTGTACTACACTTATCTTTTATTCAATAATTAATGCCTTATGTCTCTCATCAAACAACTGCGGCAAACTTTTCTGCAGAAGACGATAAACAGCAGAGAGTATATCTGTGCTCGATCGGCAAACGGCTGTCTTTAAGGTACTTTGCACATGACATGCACAGCGATATTCAACAACCTCGTTTAGATCCG